TTATTATCGTTCTTTCGAATCGCTTTTTCCCTCTTTTCTTTCCATTTGTGTACTTCAAGGAGGGAATGTTGCGGCAACTCGAACTGCTGTACTTATGTACAGCGCTTTTTGTTGAATCCAGTTAGTCAGTCTGGCAGTATTTTGAAAAGGCTTGACTGGCACTACAGTAACATGTTACCATTCGATTTGTTTAGATTTAAAAAACAAAACTCCTCAAATTCGATTGTTTCAAACATCAGTCAACGAATCATTCTTAGAGTAACTCTTAATAAAGAATATTAGATTGTTATACCCTTGGTCTAATCATAGCAAGTTTTTTACTATACTCTGTGTACAATAAACCTTTGTGTCAAAATAGTGAGCTTGCTTGTTCATTCAAGTTAATCATTCTAGTCGGCTAACAACAGAAGACAAATTGCTACGTGCATGTGTCATACACACATCCATAAACATTGTTATAAATTCACAACCTTGTCGATTAACTTAATATTATAGTAGAATAAACATTCAGTCAAACGGTGAAGTGATGCTTTAGTAAAACAATACATCATCTTTTAATTCAGTATTGATTTTCTAGTTGATTATTGAGTAGCTTAAAAATTCCCATTGAGTCATATGAAAAAGAGAAGACGTTCAGCAAATAGACTCTTTTCGCCGGTGAATTCATTCACGTAGCTGTACAATCGCATCTGTATATATATATAAATATATATATATATATATATGGTTTTTAAGAAATTTGCTGCAGCATCGTTGAGAATATCGTTTCCCAGCCGACCATTACTGTCCAATAACCTGCTCGTGTGGAGCTAGGTATGTCGGTCGTTCAACTTGAGTTTTGTCCAAGCGAGTGCAGCCACATTATCCTGCATGATTACAAAGAGGTGGAAGTTAGGGTATTCATTGAACATCTGATAGATGCTAGTCACCCTATTTCGATAACCTCAACCTTTAAAGTCATCTACCAGACCAAAAGTAATTTGCTCAAATCACTACATATCCGATTGATCTGTATTGCTGCATGTAGTCCGGGGTCCGATCCTCGGCCTGCGACGCACTTCTTTACTTCGCTAAGTCAGTAATAAGACTGGTAAAGAGGGAAGGTTGGGCAGGGCATGAGGCTATCAACCCCATCCCGTAAAAAAAAAATTCAACACCACTGGTACCGAAATTTCAAGTCTATAGTTTGAAGCCCTACGTTCCATTAGGAATGTGAAGGAATAAAGAATAAAGCTAAACATTATAACTTTATACCCCCTTTCCAATATCTATACAACTTATGAACTAGTCTATACATGACATTATTTGTTTTGGCACTTGGTATTTAACTATGATTATAATCACAAATATTTTAGTTACAATTCATACTACTACTATTATTATTCTACATATTCATGCGTTTTTTTCAATTTCGTTCACGGGATACAATTTCTTAAAAACAGGCATATATATATGTATATATATATATATATATATATATATATATATATATACGATTGTACAGTTTTGATAATAAATTCACTGGAGTAAGAGTGTCTCTCTCTTTCTTTTTTTCGGTATCTGGAACAAAGTTCACCAAGCACACTATTGTACTTCATAAATAACACTAGAATACTTTGAATATTTTTTTCTACACTTTCTGTACTCCAACTGGTGTGTGTATATCAGTTACACGAAGTTAATTGATACATTTTGTGCTTTGTATAACAATAATTTGAAAGTATTAAAGTTCAGCTTATCGAAATTGTATGTTATCAAGTGTTGGTGTGTGCACCAGTTAGAGAACTACTTGGAAGCCAACTGGGAGTACTGGACACCTGCTTCATTCTAGTTTGGGATTCTTAAGCAGTACCCGCCCACTGCGGGGGGGGAGGGGTTCGATTTCAGGATATTCCAGCTACACCGGTAAGCTTGTGATCGAATAGGTAACCAATGAAATCCCTGCAAATCGAAACCACGTCATAATTAAACCTATGCTCACCAGCGCGACTAGCTCTATACAGGAAGTTAGCTGGAATTCTAGTGAGAAGTCGTAACCAGCGGGTTTATCAAGTCAGGTAAGAGATCAGTCACTCACTCACTGGTGAAGAGTCCTAAACTGGGGCGAAATGGCTGCCCAGTATTTCCGGGCTTTCCAATAGTTTTCTGACTGATATCACCTCGTGATCGGACCTATAAATTGCAAGTACCCAAAAATGATTTCTAGATTAGAGATAGGGAGTGAAGTGGTTGGTGGAGCGTGTTGACCACTTCACTTATTTGAGAATTTGCATCAGCCCCAATGGGTTGATTGCTGACGTAATCTCCGCATGGATACAGAAGGCTCGTTTCGCATATTCCAGTCTACGCCGTCTCTGGTGTAGACGTGATATCCGGCTATCGACAAAAGGGTGTGTGTACTGCCCAGCAGTCTGCTCACTCCTCCTTTATGGCAGTGAGACATGGCCATTGAGAGTGGAAGACATGAAAAAGCTAACTAGCTGTCTTTAATCATAGATGTCTGCGTTCTATCTCGTGTGTGAAGTGGTGGTATAATAGGGTGAGCAATATTGAGATGGGGCGTCGGTCGAGTGGTAGGTAAAGAGGGGAAATCAATAGATGAGGTTATGAAGTTACATCGATTGAGATGGATAGGACATGTGCTACGTATGCCTAGCCTAGTCATCGCCTTCCTCGACCGACAAGCAATGTTAGCTGACATAGGATGGATCAGGTTGAAGAAGACAGAGCCGGTGGTAGTCAAACCAAACATGGCTTCATCATTCAAGGAAATCCACTACAATTAGTTTAACCCAGCCAGCGACGTATGGAGGTCTGTCTGTCTGTCTGTTTTCGACATAGAACTTTGCACAAATGTTCGGAAGTTCAAGTCTCCACACTCCGTGTAGCACGCGAAGCAAGAGAAGAAAGTACAAGAAAAGCATAATAGAGACAATGAGCAGAGGTGTGAGACAAAGGAGTAGTAAAGAAATACAAAACAGTTTCATTGAAGATCATAAGTCACAGGGAGTGGATGCATCTGCGCCACTGAGAACGGTTTTGATCCATGTCACCAATTGTTTCCAACCATAGATTTTTACCGTCCCGAGGACCCCAGCCTGGAAGTCTACACCTTTCTACGTGGCTTAGACCAACTGTTGTGGATTTCATTGACTGATGCCAAGTTTTTGTTTGACCGCCGCTAGCTTTTTTCCAGCCTGACCCTATATCCGCTAACATTGCTCGTCGAGGGAGGCGATGGCTTGGCATACGTAACACATGTCCTAAACATCTCAGTCTTTGTAGCTTCACGACTTCGTCGATTGATTTCCCCTGTTTACCTAGAACTCGACGCCTAACCTCCATGTTGCTCACCTTATTATGCCACTTTACACGGGAAATAGAACGCAGGCACCCATGATCAAAGACAGCTAATCTTTTCATGTCTTCCACTCTCAGTGGTCAGGTCTCGCTCACAGCCATAAAGGAGGACGGAGCGGACTGATGAGCAGTACACCCGCCCTTTGGTCGATAGTCGAACATCTCGTCTACTCCAGAGTCGGCGTAAACTGGCAAATGCGAAACGAGCCCCCTGTATTCGTGCTGAGATTTCGTCAGAGATCAACCCGTTGGCACTGGCTGATGGTACTTCCCAAATAAGTGAAGCGGTCAACGTGCTCTACATCTTCACTCCCTATTTCTAATCTAGGAGTCGCTGCAGTCCAGTCCTGTAACATCATCTTGCATTTGGCGGGAGCGAATCGCATGCCAAACATTCGTAGATTGCTGCTCAAGGTGTTCAGAAGACTCTGCATTTTGTCAGCGTCTTCGCCTAGAAGGTCTATATCGTCTGCATATTGCAAGTCAACGAGATTATTCCCTGGTAGCAAGTCAATCCCTGAGTCGCTGAAGTAAGTTAGGGTTAAGTCCATTAGTACATCTATGATGAAGTTGAATAGAAAAGTGGATAGTTGGCGGACGGACACCACTAGTCGTCACCAGTTCAGATTACGGCTCTCCGTAAGCCCTCACCTGGCTGTTTGAGTACGAGTACAGTTCCTTAATCAGTGCAATGTATTTTCTCGTCATTCCCTTTACAGCCAAGCATCTCCAGAGAACTTCCCGATCGACAGAGTCGAATGCTGCCTTTGGGTCAAGAAATATAATGACCGTTGGACGCCGGTAGGAATCCCTATGTTCTAGAATCTGTCGGAGGGTGAAGATATAATCAATACACCCTCTTCCTGGTCTAAAGCCTGCCTGGCTCTCTCGTGTTTGTGCCTCCCGAGCACCACTCAGTCTACGCATGATTATTGAGCCTAAGACTTTAGATACTATATTAGTCAAGCTAATCCCTCTGTGATTATCACAGGAAGACTTGTCTCCCTTCTTGTATATGGGGATAATCAGTGACTTACACCAACCCGATGGGACTTCTTCTGATTCCCAGACGCTGCCAAGTACCTCAGTTAATCCAGACAGTAAGCTGTCTCCACGTATGGAGGTGCAGACTACTGTCTGGTTGGGGTCCCTGGGACGGTAAAAACCAGTGGTTGGAGTGGCGACAGTCGGTGATATGGCTGGCTCAAAATTGTTCTCAATGGCTCGGCGGAGATGCATTCACTCCATGTGACTTATAATATCCAATAAGACTGTATTGTTCTTCCGTATTAATATTCTTTTTGCCTCATATGTCTGTTTATTATCTCTGTTTTGAATCTCTTTTTTACTTTCTTCTCCTGCTTTGTGTGCTAAGTGGTGTGTTGCGACTCGAACTGCTTCACATCGGTGCAAAGTTCTTTGTTGAAACCATTCAGTCAGTCAGGCGTCTACCTGAAAATATACATTTTGTTGCATTGATAAATTTCAGATGTATATATAAGTAGTACATATTAGTAGTCTTTTTTATTCCACTTGTATGGTTTTTATAATAAATATTCATACTCTGTTAAGAAAGTGTTTTTTGTTTTTAACGTACGGCTTTTACAACTGTCAGGGTTTTTGATCTTTCAACTTTTTAGATAATCTACTGCTGTTAAATGATCCAACAGTGGAAAATGTTTATCGTCTACTACCAATCGACTTTGAATACTCTGGATATAATTATCGGTGAGTTCTCCTTTTTTTAATTACATAAGTAATAATTAAAGTGAACAATTGCCTGTTGTGTTTTTTGTTTACTGAACAAATTCTTTTTCACACTCTACAATTATACATAAAGCTCCTGCCGATTCGCCACATATTTTAGTGCAACTTCTAGCCAAAGTCGTAGGATAATGACTGTTCTCTTACCTGACTTGATGGTCGCCGCTGGTTACGACTTCTCACTGGAATTGCAGATAACTTGTTTGTATGGTTAGAGCTAGTCGCACTAGCTAGTGATCATCGGATTAATTGTCAGGTGGTGGTGTCGCTTTGCTGGCTTTCATTGGTTACATCGTCAGTTTAATGGCAAATTGGAAAATCAACAAAGAGTACCTCTGAACAACTGTTTCGTCCTAGTTTTAGGGCTTTTCGGCGGTGCACACCCACCGAACAGTCTGCGAGCTCTCCTCGTAACCGAGACGTCCTTGGGGCTTAATTCCTGGTTGGTGCTAAAACGAAACAACTGTCCAGTAGCCTCTGTTGGTTTTCTGATGGTCCTCTAACCAATGTCAGCTTGTGACCGTACTTGTAACCGACCAAATCCTCGGAAATCAGTACTTGTGAAGTTGCACCGATTGAGATGGTTAGGACATGTGTTGCGTATGTCTAGCCATCGCCTTCCTTGACCGATGGGCAATGTTAGCTGATATAGGGTCAGGATGGAAAAGAGCTAGCGGTGGTCAAACCAAAACATGGCACCAGTCATTGAAATCTACAAAAGTTAGTCTAAGCCACGTAGGAAGGTGTAGACTTCCTGGTTGGGGTCCTCGGGACAATAAAAACCAATGAAGGCTGCAGACAATTGGTGATATGGCTGGCTCAAAATCGTTCTCAAAGACTGTCACAGATGCATCCACTCCTTGTGACTTATGATTTCCAATGAAACTGTATTGTTCTTCGTTATTACTATTTCTTTGTCTCACACCTCTGTTCACTGTCTCTATTATGCATTTCTTCTACTTTCTTCTGTTACTTTGTGTGCTACATGGAGTGTGGCGACTTGAACTGGCGCACATCAGTGCAAAGTTCTATGTCGAAAACAGACAGACAGATTTGATAATTATTAATTCAATAAATAAATAAAGTCAAATCTTAAAAGTTACATAATACTAAAGATGAAGTGGACAGATAATCAAGCTTTAAATAAATATCATAAAATACGAAGGAGATGGAAAATAAGAAAGGGTGGGAGGGTTTTGGATAGAATTCACCTAGGCGAAGAAAGGGAGAGACAAAATTCTTTTGTGTGGAAAGATTAGGATTGTTCTCTCGAATTTATTCCCACATAGCTTTCGTTATGTGTAAGAGACGGTTTCCGAATTCCGTTCGAAAGGCTCGATGGAATGCGATAGATAACTTTGAAGACACTGCTTCTTCTGTCCACTTGGTGACCGTTGTCATCATCAATCAAATGAGCCAAAATAGAACTTCCTGTAGATTTTATTTGACCTTTTCGCCGAACCATGAAGGAAGGAAGATGCTCATTAAAATGCGTTTGCTAATAGCCACTAAAGACAAACTAGAACTATTAATATTACTAGTAAGTGTATTTCTGATACAAGTACAAGATAAATTAGTAGTGAGTTTTGATTGCCAGTTATATCCCTACAAAATGTGTACTCAATAAGAACTTGAGATAAAATGAAACTAAATGATATAATGGTGTGTTTGTAAATCTATAATTAACTATAAGTATGCATTTCAATAGGTGAGTTGTACTCATTGGTGTGAAATACAATATGCATACTACTAAAAGAAAATAAACCAACAATTAGAATATTTCTATGTGTTTTCATCAATGTATTTCTTTTTGAAGGCTTGCCGTAGATGCTGCACAATTTCCCTTTCGGTCGATAACGTTTGATCTTTTGCATGATCATACAATTTGAATTTGATGCATTTTGTTTTCGAGATAATCTATCTTGTGCCATTAGCACTACACTGTCGTTTATCAGCTTGTAAAATAACAAGATTATTGTCTTTTTTTCGGACCTTGTTTAGAGATCTCCAGTGTTCTTTGGTAATAGGCGACTTTTGATTGGTCGGGATGATTGGCGAATTGATGAACGCAATATCAACCACCTTTGATTACAACCAGCTTTCGCTGTCACTGGACGTGGCATGTAGCCCCCACCCCATAAGTTGGTCATAAAGATTTTCGAATTGGCATTCGATATAAATTTACCTTATCTTTTTCATGGGAACAGGGAATTTGAATCCCAAATGACAGAATTTCTGCTTGTTCTTTTGATAGGGAAACATCAGATAAATTATGAACATAATTGGTTAGATATATCCACTGGGAAAATTTCATTTGGCGGTTCCGGATGAAGGGACTTCTTCAGTTTCTTTTCTTCTGATTCTTTTGACTTTTTAGAGGTGGCATGCAGATCCTTAGTGAATTCAAGATAACATGTTATCTAATTATGTTCATAATTTATCTATTATTGTTCCCTTGGGTTCCTAGTGGAATATAGGGCTTCAACTGCACGTCTCCATTTGTCACTTCTGTCTTCCTTCTGCTGTACTTTTCACCTGCATCCATGTTAGTTAGTCTATACTGTTTCAACTCCTCTCTCTTCACATGATCTCCTCCATGTCATCCTTGCACTGACGACCCACTCGCCGCGTCCTTCCCTTTCGGCCTGGTTCCACTCGAGCAATGGCCTGACGCGCTCGCGATGTTACCCAGCGGCCCGGCCTCCTAAGCGAGTGTCCAATCCATCTCCACTTTCCCCTGTATATTTGTTGGGTGCTGATTGATTGGTTCTTGTTTTGTTTGTTCCTAGCCATAGTTTCTTGTTGACGATTCTTTCCGGCCCGGCCATCTGATCTTTAGTATAGAGCCAGCGAAGACAGCTGTTGTTGGTTGATGAAGGTCTGGTCTGCAACAGGCTGTTGGAAATATTCTTTGTGACCCGCCCACCAAGTTTCTGATCCGTATAGAAGAACTGACTGACTTGACATTGTTTGTATTGAAAATCCGACCGAATTTTGTTGTTGATTCTGGCTGAGTGACGAAGATTTCCGGATAGTTTTCAGTTGGTTTGTGAATGTGTTTCTTGCTCGCCTTCTCGATTCTCGGTCGATTTGACATCCTCGTCCGTTCCGACTTCCTGTAGTTGAGACAATGCTCCCTAGATAAGTGAGTGAATGAAGTAACCTCTTTCAGATCCCTCCCGTTGATGGTGATTGGCGATGGATGTTGTTATTGGCTGGTTATTTTCATAACCTCCGTCTTGTCTATGTTCACTTGGAGTCCTGTCTTCGCCGGCTGCTTCTTCGACCAATTTGTCAGTTTTCGCTTGTAAGTCTTCGATTTTGTGTGACATCAAACATAAATCTACCTCGCGCGAAATCCAGGTCTTCTAGGTTCTGCACTTCGGTCCAGATAATTTATCTGATGTTTCCCTATCAAAAGAACAAGCAGAAATTCTGTCATTTGGGATTCAAATTCCCTGTTCCCATGAAAAAGATAAGGTAAATTTATATCGAATGCCAATTCGAAAATCTTTATGACCAACTTATGGGGTGGGGGCTACATGCCACGTCCAGTGACAGCGAAAGCTGGTTGTAATCAAAGGTGGTTGATATTGCGCTCATCAATTCGCCAATCATCCCGACCAATCAAAAGTCGCCTATTACCAAAGAACACTGGAGATCTCTAAACAAGGTCCAAAAAAAAGACAATAATCTTGTTATTTTACAAGCTGATAAAGGACAAAGATAGATTATCTCGAAAACAAAATGCATCAAATTCTCTCTGATAAATCAAAATTCAAATTAGGATATGCTAGACGTAATATGAGCGCTGGCATATAATTATAACAATAATGATGACTTGGTGTCAGTGTCAACATGAAAGTACTATTGTAATGTGAGAAGATCGGTGGGTTGGTAACGGATCTTTAATAAGGAAAAACACATCGGCAAAGTTAAACTTTCGAGACCACTAGCAACTAATCAGCAAACGACCTCGAACGGACCAATCACATTTAAGAGGCATTTATGAAAAATGGAAACGTATATTTATAGAAAATAAGCATAAAACGGTTACAGGGGGTATCTTTCCCTAATATGTGAGAGGAACATCTCCCAGTTAAGCATCGGACTGTCAATAGAAAAGTTATACCACATTCTATACATATATTCATTTAAATAACTATAAATGAGATCCTTTTGAGATCCATTTATAGCCCTTGTCCTATTTTTCAACCTGTCTCAAAATCCTTCAATAGAATTTGTATGTGTCCTGGTAACGGGATCGACAGAATCACCTGAATGGTTGACTCTGTGATGAACATACCTCAGAGATGACAGGGAATTGTAACCTTTCCATTCGTCCGTGTGTATTATTGATCCCCGTTTCACAAGTCTGGTAATAATAGGTATTAGAGTAGTCACCTTTCTATCTGCTATTCTTTCCACGAATCCTTTGTGGAGGGAGGTGTCGTATAAACGTAATACCCATATATTATTCGCTCGCTGGCGACCACGGTTGTATTTCTTTTTCACCAACACAGCTTCATCGATGTGCATTGCAACGTCTTCACCCAACAAAGAATCGATTTTCTCCATTTTCCAAGAAGCAATATCTCTGCAACGCTGGTATCATTGAACTGTTGGGACGAGGCTATTCTCCATCTCAACAGCTGCGGCTCTCACTGGCTGTTTCAATACCCAAAATTTACGTCAAGGAGAGATGTGACCTTGCAAAAAAGGTTCCTACGAAATATTAAAATTATCAGCTTACCCTCTCTAATGCTAACTCGCTTCAAGCATATTGCACAACGATGGACAAATCCATCAGTTGACCTGCTATAGCTTTTTAAAATCATGACACCACCACACGAACAAGTTCGCTCCTTCCGGAGCAACCCTAAATCCAGGCAATACTGGAAAATATTATCCTCCACGAATTGCAACGTAACCTTGATAGGGCACGCATTTGAGATGAGTCAAGCACTATACAACACTGAACTAACGTTCGTGTATCTCATTTCATAATTCGACGTCGTTCGCTGATTGGTAGTTAGTGGTGATTAAAGTTTAACTTGGCCAACACATCAGATTTATACGTTCTCAGCCACATTAAAGTTCATGTAACTCAGATGTGAATAAACTGTTCTGATTGGCTGGCAATCGTTCCAAGGTTAAATCAATTGTCCAATGAGATTATTTCATGTCCAGAATGTAAACTAAATCTAGATTTCAGGAAAAAACACTGCTACTTCTGCCGCAACCATTGACTTATTGTGTTGATTTCAAGGCTTGTCCACTTCCTGTTAATCTGTATCACGACACACTATTCGTAAACAATCATCAGATAATAATAAAGTGGAATGAGAAGGATTGTTTACATACAATAAGAAATTTAAAAAAATTATAACGTAAACAGACATGAAATCCCCCTAAAAAAGTATGGATTAAGAATGTATCGATTAAACAAAGGGAAAAAAGTAAAAGGATAGAAGTGATGTTTAAATTGTCAGTTATCAATATTTTAATGAAGGATTTTGTTGACCTTGTTGTAGGACAAGGTGGTATACGAAGTGGTTGGATATGTGCATCTGGTATTGATCGCTGTCGCTTCAGTAACTAGTAGATGTAGTCGTAGTGTCTTGTGTGTGTACATTACCACAAGGAGACAGTACATGACTGCGAATGGTTGCTTCGGTTTAATTTGATGCCCACTATCCACTGAATAAGCTAAGACTACACTATTTATGCATTTGTTAGTTTCTTTATCCTACAATCCCTGTACGTGTTCACACTCACTCATGAATAAAGCAGTCTGAGCACGGTCTTTGAAGCTAGATTCACAGGTGTAGTTGAAGTCATAGGTACATGTTGACGAAGCCGTCATTAGTAGTCTATCCTTGAGTGTCTGTGTGAGTGCTGCTGCTGAGTACCATCCTAGCCTCAGGGATGTTCTGTTGTTCGATCTCACCTTTTTAACTTAAGACATGTTTTCTCCATCAATAATTCATCTCTAGGTATCGAGATGTGCTTCGTAAAACGTTCTGCGGCTACCCATTTCCTTGCAGTATAAGAGCTTCAGTTTGCAAATTCCTGCATTCGTGCGTCCGTGTGATCTATCTGTTTTCGACATAGAACTTTCCACTGATGTGCGGCAGTTCAATTCGCTACACTCCATGTAGCACGCAAAGCAAGAGAAGAAAGTAGAAGAAATGCATAATAGAGACAGTAGACAGAGTTGTGAGACAGAGGAATAGTAATAACGAAGAACAATACAGTTTCATTGGAAATCATAAGTCACAAGGAGTGGATGCATCTGTGCCAGCCATTGAGAACGATTTTGAGCCATATCACCAATTGTCTCCACTCCAGCCACTGGTTTTTACCATCGTGGGGACCCCAACCAGGAAGTCTACACCTTCCTACATGGCTTAAACTAACTGTTGTGGATTTCGTTGACTGATGAGGCTATGTTTTGGTTTGACCATGTGTGGACACATACGTCTTATTCCATAGTTAAGGCATTCAACTAAATTTATTTTGTGGATGTGTAAATATGAAAATGGACAGACTGACCAGTTCGAATGCTCTTCCTAAAAAGGCTTTCCTTCAAGTATCCACACATCTTTTTGGTATAGAAAGCACCTTTCTGTTGTCTTCCTAACAAGTGAAGTGAATTTGATTGACAACATTCAAAATACTCATTTTTACTCAAAGTGTATGTTTCACAAAAACAATGAATGTTTCATCTACATATCGACAACAATAAATCAAATTTGTCAATTGTACTTGAATAAACCGCACAAAAACAGTTTGAGTAGAATTAGATAGTATCATCATTTATTTCGTTGGTTTCTAATCAGCTGCGTATATAGGCAGCTTAAAGAAATTATTAAGTGGTTTGTGTACAAAGCAATTTTAACGTACTTCAAATATTACATGATGTCAGTTGATAGGAAGTCACAAATCTGATAAATAGTGCTCCGAAAGTACACTTATTTTAAAGCTTTCACCCAGAGGGCTCAAATTTCATCAACAATTATAAATGCTTAGATACACTGACAAGAATTACGTAGTAAAGACAAGAGGTGGACTACGATGGTGAGTAACTAGTAAGTTGGGTAACAATGTGGTAAGTTCAACTCATACCATATAGAAAAAAAGAGGCAAGCAAAGTTGCACTATGTTATAAGAGAGGGGGACAGGGTTTAATCTAGAGATTGCGTAGTCAAATAACACAGAGAGAGAGAGAGGGAGTGGAGACATCGAGTTACCTGCCAGGAAAAGGTAATGGAAGTCTGATAACTGCCTCTTTCCGAACATTTCAGTTGGATTGCAGACATCTGATGGTGATTTTTGTGGGAAACTTGAGGCGAATTGAACTATAATTGGTCTACTGTTCATTTTGAATGATCTTGCAATGTCCACCTCACACTACCTGTGTCAAGTAGGTATCTGACAATGGGATTATTGTAAGCGTTTGTTCCCTTGCGACGTAGGCTTTTCGGTACTTGTTCAGAACATTTAGCTTCATGGCTTTATAAAGGAGAAAAAAAGTCACCCCGAGTCTCTATTCTGGAACATCCTATCGAATCGGGGACATCAAGTAAAACCACAAAGTAACTTCAAAGTCATCTGCAGAATACCTGGGATCTTGCTGGAGAAGTACGTATCAAACTGCTTCAAACTGCGGAAGCAGTGGAAACTCTGCATACAAGAGAAGTTTGTTCACTCATAAATCTGGACCTGACCGACCTATCTTAACACCAAATAGGTGGTTTTTGTTTCGTCTTTTTTTTCTTGCTTGCTTGTTTCTTAATTGTATAATATTTTCTTCTCGCATCCTTTATTAAATCTCTACTCCTTATTACCACTGTGGATAACTTGACTTTTGTTCAATTTTAATTTTAGCTGAGCTCTACTCACCTCCAACAATTAGATTACGTCATTCAACTTGTTTATTTAATCTTATTTTAGTTTCCACCCTATTGACGCTTTCTACAATACGTAATTTATTGTTGACTAAAAATTACAATTCTAATAACAAATCTTTGAAAGATTCATTAGGTTACTAAGAAAATTAGCTGTATATATGCGATTATACAGCTTGAGAATGATGTCGTTGTAAGGAGTAACTGTTCGCTGAACATTTTTTCTTGATAATTAAACATTTTTATGTACTTGGAGCTGTGGCTCATTGCTATATGCGGTCGCCTAGTGGGTCACAGGTTCACTCCCCCGTTCGTCCTACCGAGATTTGAGCAGTCAAATAAGATCACTAGCCTTCACACAATAGGAATGACTCCATAGCCAGCCACTTGGAACTATAAGTGGGTATTGAGTAACATATTATCAACACCATTGCTCATCTTATTGTGATTCTAAACTTTCTTTTTACGAGTTGATCACGGATTGATCGATATCAGTTAGAGAATCATTGGAAACCAGCCACAGGGAGTACTGGACAGCTGTTTCATCAGCCTAGTTTGGGAATCATCCACAATACGCAACCACCACCAGGGTTCGAACTCAGGACTTTCCGGTTACAAGGCAAGTGAACTCGTATACCATTCAGCCACTGGTACCCGACTCTTCAATGGCCAGCCAGCACACGAATTCTAATTTCTATCAATTCGTGATTTAATGCGACCCCAACCAATGTTGCCGGGGGGACATCCATCCTCACACTTGACTGGATGAACCTCAGTGGTCTCGGAAACTCCATCCTGCAGCAAGTCACTGTCGAGCATCAGATTAATTTTTTATATTTGGTTTGTAAAGATTAGTTTTGTTTTAGATTATATACTGTTCATCTTTAAATCAATTTCACGTTTTCATTTCTTTCGAATATGTTGTATAGTCCAATCTTGACGAAAAACTTGCTTGTTCAATATTCCCATAATAGTATTACATCATTTACCCTTAAAGTTTATACACTAACATTGCCTAACTGTAAACATTCTCATAAGATATTTTTAACTGTGGTGGAAAGCGTTAATAATGTTGCTATGTTATATGATTTGTGGGGATTTCGATCAACATACTTGGTCTCATAACTTGAAGTTCCCGGGTTCGACACCCGGAAGGGTCTTGAGTGGATCATACTGAAGAGTCTCAAAAGAGGACGAAACAGCTTTTCAATGCTCCCTGTTCTTCAGTAATCTCTCTAACTGATGCTTGTTGATGAGGAAAATCTAAAAATCATAAAGTTACATGGGGAAAAAAAGCCTCTATACCATATTACATACAATAAAGTTGAATTAAGCAACTGTCATTAGTTTCAAACTTGTCGTCCATCATGTTGGGCATGTTTTCTATCTTTTCATACTTTCTTTTATTGATTTATTGGTGTGTTTTTTTTAATTTATTTTTCTCATTCCCAGTGGATTTGATATAGGCAATCATTTTAATGAATGGTGTTATGATTATACAAATTCTAATCCTCCATATTTTCATCATAATTTTCAAAATTATCCTGATCGTTTCAAACAGGTGAGTGCCTTTGTTAATTTATTCACTTTTATTTTTTAATGATTCTGATTAAGCAAAAATAATAACTCAAGTTTTTGACCACAGATTGATGAGTGAGTAATAGAGAGGTTTCGCGTGCATTTCGGATTGTGAGGGCGATTGTTACTTCCCGGCTGCCCACACCGTGGAAGTTGGTTGCGTGACCGCAGAGTCCAAGGGACAACTGCTTGTGGCCGGTCACATGCGGCCTGTTTTTGTTTCTTCTTTATTGTTTGGTGTGTCTCAGTAGCATATTTATCACTCCTGCCCTGTGATACGGCAGCAGGAAGCGCGGTCGTTGTTAATCCGGGGCACGGCCGATCCGGCATGAAATTTTGTTTGTATCATAATGGTGGGTTGGGTAGCTGCTTTTTGTTTTAACCGCTATCCAAACAACCTGCCTGGCATGGTAGGACCTCAAGAGACATAGGTCTCAGCCAGTATAGCTTGATTAGGTCATTCCGGTGTTCATAATAAGGTGAGCAACATTGAAGTTAGGCGCCGAGTGCTAGGTAAACAGGGGAAATCAATCGACGAAGTCGTGAAGTTACATAGACTGAGATGGTTAGGACATGTGTTACGTATGCCAAGCCATCGCCTCCCTCGACGAGCAATGTTAGCGGATATATGGTCAGGCTGGAAAAAAGCTAGCGGCTGTCAAACAAAAACTTGGCACCAGTCAATGAAATCCACAACAGTTGGTCTAAGCCACGTAGGAAGGTGTAGACTTCCTGGTTGGGCTCCTCGGGACGATAAAAATCTTTGGTTGGAAACAATTGGTGACATGGATCAAAATCGTTCTCAGTGGCGCAGATGCATCCACTCCTTGTAACTTATGATCTCCAATGAAACTGTTTTGTTTTTCTTTATTACTCCTTTGTCTCACACCTCTGTTTACTGTCTCTATTATGCTTTTCTTGTACTTTCTCCTCTTGCTTCGCGTGCTACACGGAGTGTGGCGACTTGAACTGGTGCACATTTGTGCAAAGTTCTATGTCGAAAACAGACAGACAGACCACAGATTGATATCAGTTAGAGAAGCATTGAAAGTCAGCTGGGAGTACGACAAACCCCAGAACCTTCAGGTTACAAGTAAAAGCTTGTTGACTGTTCAGCCACCGGGGGACCCAACTTCTCATTGGCGAGCATATGAATTCTAACTTTAAACAATTCGTAACTTTAACGTGACTGTCAGCCAATGTAATCGGTGGCGGGTGTTTGTTCTCACTGTTGACTGGATGGGCCCTACTAGTCACGACTTCTTACTGGATCTAGGATGATACAGCTTGCTGTCCAGTATTCCCAGCTGACTTCTAATGGTTCTCTAACTGATATATCAATCCGTGGTCAACCTTCAAATAAAATAAAATACCCACAAAATAACTCTTGAAAATAATTTAATAATTCCCATTGTAACATTAAGAACACAATATTCAGCGAAGAGACTCTTTTCAGCAACGAATTTATTATCAAGCTGTACAATCGTATATATATATATATATATATATATATATATATATATATATATGGTTTCTTTTTAAAGAAATTATACCTGGTGAGGGAATTGAATCAAAGCTGTGAATACGTGAAATAACAATAATAATAATGGTATGAAATGCAATTAAAATTAGAATATTTGTGATTATAATCATAGTTAAATGTCAACGTACATGGAATGGACAACTAACTAAATTTTATAGTTGGGTGCCTATCTTCAGGAAAAGGAACTTAATTCATTCCCTTTTGCCTTAGGATAAGAAACATTTGTAGTTCTGATTGCTGTGACTCAGAACTTGCCTTCTTAAAAGTTACGCTCGCAGAAAACAGTTACCCGAATCGATTTATTGACAGTAACATGAACGATAAGCAGTCTAAACTAGTCACCAACTCAATTCCAAAGGAAACTGTATTCATGAACTCGGAATTCAAAGGTGATCAAGCTGCAGTTATGCTCAGAAACCGTCTTTCATTCAGTGAAACATTCTTTGCAACAAAATTACGAATGGCGTTCACCAGCCACAAGTTTTTGTTGATCTCTGTAAAAGATAAGCTCCCCTGTTTGGCCACCTCTGTGTGTATCTACCAGTTCACCTGCTCTTGTGGAGCAAGGTATATTGGCCGTAGCCAAAGGGCACTTTCCACACATATATGAGAACATATTCCAGCATAGTTTTACAGGAGAGATAAGAAGGGTGTGTGTGCACCTCTATTCTAGAACACCTGATCGACTCTTGTCACTCTGCCAATCCTGACCATGATTTTAAGATCATCTATCGAATCCATGCTAAGTTGTCGTATATTCTTCGTTATAAACTTCTAAAGATAGTGAAGGCGGGACCTCTGTATACAAAAGAAGTATGTACAATCCCTACTTCTGCCTTGGCCGTAGAGGGATAGACATTTATTTATTTTGTTTATTTGGTTATTCTATGTACCCTTCCCTCATTACTACGATAATTACTATTATTATCACTTTGAATTGTTTCCACTTGTCATTCTATATCCAAATATCTTGTATACAATATTGAATTCTATCTTATCACATTTCACAACATGTTATGTAACATTTTATATTAGCCTACTAAGCCTATAATTATGCACCCCTTTCCAACATTTATACACCTTATGTATTATTCTGTATGGGACATCAATTGTTTTGCTAATTGACATGTAACTATGATTGTAATCACAAAGATTTTAATTACATTTCATACTACTATGTTTATTTTATGTATTCAAACCTTTGTTTAAATTCCCCCCAGGGTGGTGGGGTGTAATTTCTTAAAAATCATTGTATATGTGTATACGATTGTACAGCTTGATAATAAATTCTTTGTTGAAAAGAGTCTCTCCTGTGAATATTTTGTTCTTGAAAATAAATAATGTATAACTAGCTGATTTAATAACAGTAATAATACTGTGATGAGAAATCTCATTAAGGATATGAGATAAACAGATATAGAATGCAAGATATTCAGTGAAATTACATATGCTTTATTGCGTCATTTCAGAGTTGGGCTTCATAGGCAAGCTTAAACTTCACTCCGCATGTTTGAACTCTGTCTACCATCATAGGAGTACTTGGCATATGTTTCGTACTAGTGTGGGACTCTTCACCAGACCATTCAATGGTCTACGAGCTAGCTATCCTTGTAACCAGAAGGCCTTGTGTTTGAACCCATCTGGTGGGTACGTACTGCTGAAGCAGAGTACCAAGCTAGGACGAATTAGCTGTCCAGTACTCCCAGCTGGTTTTCCGAGTCTGACAGCTCCAAACTTAATAGCTTTCTGTTGGACATCAACAACTGGTCCAAGTCAAATGGTCTTATATTAAATCCTTCCAAATGTCAGTCACTTGACTTTACTTTCAAGCACCGATGTGACTTACTTGAACTAGTTAGCTCGCATGATCCCTGTAGCGTAGATGGCACGGAAATTAAAACCAAATCAAGCATTAAATACCTTGGATTAGTTCTTTCCTCTGACCTTTCATGGTCATCACACATCTTATCTATCTCTAAGAAAATGTTTTGTCTTACCTTCTACATTAAAAAGTTAAGACAATCAGGTATTAACCAACCTTTAGTTTTGCAATTTTTAAACTTGTGTATTTTACCTATTGTACTCTATTGCTCTCCATTAATCTTTCCTGGGCTTCTCAAAAAAGATTATATCATATTACGAAGAGTATTAAATGCTGTGAGTAGGGCTTGTGGTCTGCCACTGCGCGAGCTCGCTAATACTATAGTCGAGAGGCATATAAATTCCTGTACGAAATGGGCAAAGGCTATACTGTCAGACCCTCTGCACCCTCTTTATTCACACCTGTCCCCTTGTATCTCATCAGGTAGGACGAGAAGTCAATATAAAAAGTTATATGCTCGTACCACTAAGTATAGAAATTCTACAATACCCTATTTAGCCCGTACTTTATGTGACGAAGATTCTGTTAGACGTGAAACACATAAGTTACTATGTAATTAGCACACTGAATCGACCCTTTCATCGTTCATCTTTCTGTATTTTATGGTGTCACACTTTCTATCGTTTAATTATTACTCTGCTATTTTATTTTAGTTGGTATTACTATTATTACTACAATTTTGTACTTTATGCATATTTTTCTCCATATGGCATACAGTATGTTGCTATGTAGCTGCCATAACAATCGTTGTATTACTGTTGTGTAATGTGTATTTTTAATTTTTTTGTTGTCGTTTTTGAGTAAATTAGATGCAATATTGTACTGAAATGCTGAAAATTCCTTGCTGTATCATTAGTACTATTTTTGGAATAAAGCAAATTATTATTATTATTATTATTATTATTATTATTATTATTATTATTATTGGTTGTCTAACTAATGTCAGCTCATGATGAAATCCTGTAACAAATCAATCAAATTCCTACAAACGAATACTTGAATATTCTTTTGTATTGGTTAGCTAAGTGATTGATCCGTCTGAACAGTTCTAATTTAATTGCAAATGAGTATTCTTGTGATTTTCTTTGTTTTGAGGGTGGGGTGGTTTCTTGTTTAGTAGGATACAACCAAATGAAAATCATTCACACCTAAGCAACTAATCTTCTCTTATTACTCGTTCATTTTACCAGACATCACTCACTTGCTTTATTGGATATGACTTGCTCTTTTCTCTCAGTATGTTTTCTTATTTATAGTGATTGTCTTTGTATGCACAACATTTTTCTGTGTAGATTTTCTGCTCATATGTTGTATTGCCCTGTAATAAAATACTAATCTTCAACTAGGTCTGCATGCTTACATGTGTGTGTGTGTGTGTATGTGCGTATAAATGTCACTCAATATGCTGCTTTGATGTTGTTGTCGTTGTCAAAATTCATATGATTTATCTGCATGACTAACTGTGACCGACTAACTGACTGTGAGATAATCGAATTCTTTTTTTTTAGCTATCTATCAACATGCTGTTGATAGATTTTCTATTGGATAAATCTGTGAT